AAAAACTAACAATAACAAAGCAAAACAGGTAAAAACCTCAATTGAAAACAAAGCAGAAAATATTAAAAACTAGTGCAAATTTAAATAGGTTATACCCTACTGATAGAGGGCTAAATGTTGACCTCATTGTATCTTCAACAACCCACTTTCCAGTGCCGTCTACATGATAGCAAGGCTATTCATAATCCTGGTCTATTGTCAGCGGGGATTGATCACCAGGGACTTAATCCATGCGTGTTTCCCCTTCATGTTGTTTTAAAAAAACTGAAGCAGCTTTAAAATGGGTCAAGAGTGAGATCAAATGATAAGATATTACATTCTGACCTAACTATGTCTGCCTTCATGGATTTTGCAATGCTCTCTAGCTGACAGCTGGGCTATTCATGTCCCTCGTCCATGCTTAGAGAGGATTCACCAGCGTCTTAGTCCATTTGTGTACAGTGAAAATGGATTTTGGACTTCTACCATCATCCATAGGCTTCTGCAAACAAGGTGTTCACATTTAGATTTAGATATTATTTACAATCCTTGGGTTACGCAGGCTGGTGTGCTTCTTCCAAGTGTACTTAGTTGACACCTCACTTAGATGGATGCTTGTTTGAAAATAAACCTTTAAGACTCCAGACACTATTGTTTCTGACAGCTGGCACTATATAGTTTCTTCACTACCCTTTGCTATAGCATCCATATCTCCAGTGATCGCTTAATGAGGGCACACAACAGGCAGGGCCATGTCATAACAACTAATTGTTCTTAGATTGAGGCTAGAAGTTAGTAGAAGCCAAAAATGCATTCAGGCATCTATAGAAATTACCACATTTAGCAGATGTCCCTTGCTACATGATAAGATTTAGTACATAGCACAATGCCTTTGTACAGAGTGGTGAGGTAGTTTTTAAGCAAATATTTGGGTCAAATCTTTATTTTACTTTTGGCTTCACTGCTTTTCTTCTGAAGGAATATATTTGGGGAAACTTTTTTTTGTAACAACCAAGTGAAATTTGAACTATCTATTTTTGTAGGTTGTCAAAGAAAATAATAACAAGCAAAATGTCAGTGAGTGTTCCCCACACCCAAGTTTAGAATCCAGTGTCCTTTTCTCGATCTTACCTGAAGGCTGGGGAAAAGACTACCAGTGTAAAATATTGGTGGTGGTGTTGGGTCTTTCCTCAAAGGAATCTGGCCTTTCCTTCGTTCAAGAGGTTGTGGGTCTATAAACTGCTTTAAGTCTGGGGAATGTTTGAGAGACCATGACTCTTTATTCTGGTGATTTGAGGTAAGTCGCCATTCACCTGACCTAGAATTCTTCTGTTTGCACAAAGCAAGACAATGTTTAGTCTAAGGCCGATCAATGTCTCTCTTAGTAATGTCCTTTCAGGCATTTGCTTCAGGGAGTACTCCAGATGAGACCACAGGTGCCAATCAGCATGCACAGTTGAACTAAGCTCCTTAAGTGGGGGTCGATGGGGTGGTGGTTCACTGATCATGGATTCGCAAACAGGCTAGTGATCTCTTCGAGTTGGAGGGGTAGTGTTGTTGGCCGCAGTGACTCAATGGACTTTAGAGACTCAGTAGTCCCATCTCATGGATTATATGCCCATATCTTCCCAACCCAATTTCAGGGTCCTCTTTCTTCCCAATTAATGCCCTCACTGTCACATCAGACCCCATCTCGTTTGGGAATTCAGATGATCTTATAATTGAGTCAGTCTTACGATAAGACCTTGGATTCGGTTTTTGGCAGTATCAACTCCATTACTGCAAGAAACAAGGCTTTCTCTCATGACACACGTGGAAACACAGGTCTTTTATGTGGCACTTGAGCTGTGCCTTTGAAGCCCCGAGTTCCTCTCTTTCCGTGACCACGTTGTCCATGGTGATACGTCTTATCCTGATGAAACTGTTGAAAAATACCAAACTCACCATCACCCAGAGCCTCACTTCTCACCTTGTTCATCTACTTGTGGTGGTCATTTTGGGTGTTGACATTGCTGCTTCAGGCATGAATTAACAGCACTCTGTTACCCGCAGTGGGACACTTACCAGTACTAGTTGAGGCCGAGTTTTCAGTGCCTTGAGGACTATTCAGACTTTAGAAAATTTGGAACGTACATCTTAGGATTTTGTTTCCCTAGAACAACTCCTGGCTTGGTACCAAATATGTTAGGCTGGGTTCTCTAAGGAAGCCAAACCGGTATATATGTATAAAGAAATTCACATCCAGAAAGTGCCTCACATAGTTGTACAAACAGGTAAATCCAATCTGGTTTAAGTCCATGGGCCTTAAACCTGACTCCTGTATTCTCTGAGGCTGATGGACTGGAAAAACAGGACGACCACAGCTGGTGGATGCTGAGACAGATCAACCCAAGGTTGGGGCCTCAGATGGTAGGCTCTAGTGTTTCCCAGGGTTGGCAGGCACTATGGCGGGCTATTGGAGCAAGTCCAGAGAACTAGAGGACAACGAGCCAGATGCAAGATACAAACCAACAGGAATCAAAGAATCTATCCGCAATGTCTGCTTGTATCTGAAGTAGGCCACACCCCTGAGAAACATCAGTAAAGGTGTGGCCTGAGGAAGGGGTTCCATTCCACCCATCTTCTCACAACTACATGGCCGCACACAGCAGATTCTATCAGAAAGTTAATTGCATTACTTTAGATCCCACCATGTGGGGAGCCTCAACTGGCAACCGCTGAGAATCCCGAGCCAGCCAAATTAACGCAAAACCTCTCTCCAATAGCTTGACATTCAGTATTTTTATTTAATAGACGTGTTTATGGTTTTGTAGCAATACTTTTCACTTACCATTGTGTAGGTCAGATGACAGTATGTACCTGGTGGTCCCGTGGATACACGTGGGCTGTGAATCACAGGGTCAGCAGTGTGAAAGCACCAGGTGCTCCGAGGGAGAAAGTTGGAGCTTCCTCCTCCCATAAAGCATTCCCGAGGAGCAGTGCGCTGCCCTGCCCAACAGGCTGCATGGGAGTCGGCATCAGCTTGACTGCAGTGAGTGAGTTGTCTAAATTAACCTGGCTCATACCTGGAAATTCATCGTCTCTTGATAGGGGACAATGTGAATTCTGATGACATTTGACTAAAGGTCTCAGAAGGAGTCTAGTGGTGCTATGGGTTAGGCATTGGGCTGCTAACTATGAGATTTGCAGTTCAAAGCCACCAGCTGTCCCATGGAAGAAAGAGGAGGCTGTCTGCTCCTGTCAGATTTAAAGTTGTAGAAGCCATGTATAGAACCACTGTGAGTTGGAATATACTCAACGGATGTAAGGTTGGATTGTTTTTCCTTTTTCATCAGCAGGTGCATTGCTTACATCAAGACTGCCCCTGTCTTTGCTACCTTCTGTACAACTCCTGTGTCCTGGGTAGAATTTGAAAATTGTTGCAGATCACTTAGCTTTTTGTCAAAATTGTGCTTTTACTTAAGTAATGAAAATGGTTCAGAAGTATAATTTGGACAATTTAGTATCGTCATAGCAACTAAAACATATCTGGAACACTCCCTCTGTACTGATACCTCTAAGTGCTTTAACCCTCACAACACCCTGTGAGACACAGCTTATTATCACAAGGATACTAGGTACGGCTATTATGCTTGGTTTGCAGATGAGGAGTCAAAGACTTGGGTCCATTTGCTCAGGTAAGATCACATGGCTACTACTTGGTAGAGCTGAGACGTCACCAGATCTATACTTCTGATTATGCTTCATTGCCTTGAGGACACCCCAGGAGTTCTTAGCACAACTGGAACGGGATACCTCTGCCTTTGTTTCCCTGTAGAAGGGAGTAAGGGTACAACAGTTGAAGAAGGACCTGGAATATACATTGTCTCCTTGGGCATTTCCTCTTGGAAGTCTTGCCTAAACACCCTTCCGTCGACAGACGCTCCATCACATGCCATTCTTGTATTGTTCTATTGCAGCTCACCCCAACATCCATCGTAGCATTTACCACCGTGTTTGAACCATGTGACCTGAAGCTATTTGAGAACAGGTTCTTGCTTGTTATCTCTGAATCCCAGGTACCTATCAGTTCCTGTCAATATAGGACAGTAAAGACGACTGCTAAAGCTGTGTCACTGAGACTGTTTTCCACGGCCCAACGCTGCTGTTCAGTACAAAAGGAAGCACACGTATTTGATGGAAACTTATACATTGAAACTTGACACTGAACTTGTTTTAATGTTTACAGAATGAAGAGGAACAGTTTATCTGTTGTGAATAAAATTGCCCAGTGCCCACCAGCAGTCAAACAGCCCAAACTCGGATTCTCCTCCTCACGCAGTCAGACGCAGACGTACACAGTTCTTCTAGACTGGGGGACTTTGCCTCACCATGTAGTATTCCATATTTTTCAGTATCTCCCTTTAATAGATCGGGCCCGTGCGTCTTCTGTATGTAGACGATGGAATGAAGTTTTTCATATTCCTGACCTTTGGAGAAAGTTTGAATTTGAATTGAACCAGTCGTCTACTTCGTATTTCAAGTCCACTCATCCTGATCTAATCCAACAAATCATTAAAAAGCATGCTGCCCATCTGCAGTACGTCAGCTTTAAGGTAAGAAAAGCAAACAATCCATAGATAAAGTGACTTTCATTTGGTTAGCCCCCTTTTGCTATCACTGGGTCCTGGTTGTAAGGCCCACTGCCATTGACTTAGTGCCCTGGTGGAGTGGTGGTTACAAGGTGGGCTGTAACCACCTGGTACCGGTTCGGAGCCACCAGCAGCTCCTCAGGAGAAAGACAGGGGGGCTTCCTACTCCCATTAAGAGTTGCAATCTAGGAAATTCACAGGGGCAAGTCTACTCTGCCCTATAGTGTCACTGTGGGTCATCCCTGACTCAATGGCAGTGAACTTGGTGTATGCTGCTTTGCCATGGTGTTAAGGAGGCTTGATGACATGGTAGCTTATTATTTGCACTGCTAATCACAAGGTAAGCTTTAGATAGGCTTTGTACGGTCTCAGAAACCCGCAGGAGCAGCTCTACCCTGCCCCGTAGCATTGCAATGACTCAGAATCTACAGATGCGGTGGGTTTGGTTGCTTGAACATTGCCTTAAATCCAACTCCAGGCAGTCAGTGAAACTGGCAGAGTTTTCATCCCAGCCTATCTCCGACTTTTCTGTAGTTGGGTCTATAAACTCAGGCTGTCATTGAAGAAGTTAGATTATCGTTTCTTTAACTGCATGCTCGTTGTCTTGGAATCTTTAGAGCAGCGATTCTCAACCTGTGTGTCACGAACCCTTTGGGGCTGGAATGGTCCTTTCACAGCGGTCGCCTAAGACCATTGAAAAACACTTATTTCCGATGGTCTTAGGAACGGAGACACCGCTCCTCTACCCATCTCCAGGTGGGCCCGCCCACATGCAGATATACCGATCTGGAGAGAAAGAAGCTATCTCAACCTTCGCCCTGACGTTGGCTTTTTACCCATTCTGTCCCAAAATGTAGCAGTGTAGTTTACTGTTGTTATATTAAGACTGTTACCCATGCTACACCATGCTTCAGGACAAAATTTCATTTATTTATCATTAGAAATAAATATTTCTCAATATAGAATTATATATTGTTTTTGTAATGAATCACTATGCTTTCATTATGTTCAACTTGTAACAGTGAAAATACATTCTGCATATCAGATGTTTACATGATGATTCATAACAATAGCAAAATGAGAGCGATGAAGTAGCAACAAAAATAACTTATGGTTGGGGGTCACCACAACATGAGGAACTGTAGGAAAGGGTCACGGCATTGGGAAGGTTGGGAACTACTGACCTAGAGGAACAGAACCAGTAATTCTCTCTCTCTCTCTCTCTCTCTCTCTCTCTCTCTCTCACACACACACACACACACACACACACACACACACACAGAAACACACCTCGGAGAGATTTATCTTAACGATTGGCTCCCATAGTTGTGGGGGCTGGCAAATCCAAAATTTGCACATCAGGGACAGGTTTCATATTCTTAGGTCCTCATAGCTATAGGGGAGGTAACTGGAAGCATGGAGGGCCTGATAAAAGGCCTGTTTATCTTCTGGAGGCAGAATACTTCCTAGGAGAAGCTCCCTTTGCTATACCGCTTCCAATTTATTGCTGGAGGTCCAGCCACATTGTGGCGGGGGATCCGCTTTGCTTAGCGCCAGGTGATTTGATCACATGAAACTCCTTCCAGACTGGTGTTTGACCAAACAGCTGGGCACCGTGGCCTCACCAGATTGACACATGAAATGAACAATTATTCGTTACTGCAATCCCTTGACGTTGTCAAGGATTTTATCTTGCTTGGATTCACATTCAATGCTCAAGGAAGCAGCAGCCAAGAGAGCAAATGATGCACTGCTTTGGGTAAATCTGCTGCACAAGACCTCTTTAAAGTGCTGAAAAACAAGGATGTTACTTTTCGGACTAAGGTGCACCTGATCCAAGCCGTGGTATTTTCCAATGCTTGTATGCCTGTGAAAGTTGGATGTTGAAGATGGAAGATCCAAGCCAAATGGATGCATTTGCATTGCAGTGCTGGCAAGGAGCTCGGAAAGTACCGTGGACTGCTGAAAGAACACGCACATCTGTCTGGGAAGAAATACAAGCAGGGTTTCGAGGCAAGGACAGTGAGACATCATCTCATGTCTCACTTTGGACAACTTCCTGATTGGTAAAGTGGAGGGGTGGTGAAAGAGAGGGGCCCTTAGACAAGATGGATTGACACCGTGGCTGCAACAATGGGCTTGGACACCAGAGCAGTTGGGAGGAGGACACAGGACCAAGGAGGGATTTCATTCTAGGGCTCATAGGGTGCCTATGAGGCAAAACTCACTGATGCCACCAACAATAAGGGCTAGTGCAATGAACTGAGTGCTGTGTGAGGTGAAGGTTTGAAAGTACTGAAGTGCTTAGAACGTGAGGTAGTTAGCTTATTGTGCCAACTTGGCGGATAAACACGTGGGGTTAATTGAAGGGTGGAGAGATAAATGGCTCGGTGAGCCTCGTCTTTCTAGTTCTCGGGGCTCTTGCTTTGTGATGGTCAGACCAGGGTGCAGCTGCCTTAGCAGTTCCCTGCTTCAGCTGGCAAGGCTCACTTCCTGCAAGACATCCCTGAGGATGAAGAGAAGTCCATGGACCTACCCCGATGCAGCCCTGGGTGCTGGAGCAGCCATGTGGAGACCCCTGCCAGCGTTGAGATGTTTACACATTCACTGACTCGGCTTTCCTCCTGCAGTCAGCATCATTGCCTGTGTTTTTGGGGGGATGGAGGAGGACTTTGTGAATTGGTGTCAGACATATGGGTTAATGCTGAACTTGTGGGTTTGGGCAGCACTGGGTTGGAATGTTTTCTTGATGTGCACCTACCCTTTATATAAACTTATACATGCGTTTCTGTGGATTTGTTTCTCTGATGTACCCAGACTAACACAGAAAGTTACTTGGTAATCATCTGTTTTTTAAAAATTTAATATTTATCATATCATTCCATATTTCAATCACGTCAAGGAGAATTATACCATTGCTACCACCATCAGTTTCCAAATATTCTTTTAATACATGGGTCCCTTGACTTTGTCTCCCCTTCACCTCACCACCACCACTGTACCCCTGTACCCCACTTGCTGCCTCTATAGTTTCATCAATTCCAGGTTTCACACATCAAAAAATGGAAAAACCTGTAACACAAGTCCTAGACATCCAATGACATGACACCTCTGAGACAAACCCTCATATGAACAAACAAAAACCAAACCAAGCCAATAAAAAATGCAGAAAATTTTGGAGACCAGATCAGGTCCAGCATGTGTAGTAGGGCTATCTACTGACAAAGTTTTAACTGTTTAAGTCAGATTTATGCCTTTGATCTTCTATACTCGTCTAACCACTTTCCTCCACTCCCTCAATTGTAGATAGAGGGATAGGTCCAAAGACTTATTTCCCATGCAGTTTCCACAAATGAATCTTGGCCTTCTGGATTCTCACAATTTAGGCTCTGATACTAGTCCCTCCTTTGACCTCGGATAATATGATTTACAGTCCTTTTGTGACTGATGACAGTGTCCTTCCTCCATGTGGATTTATGATATCTCACTTAGATGGATGTTTGTTTGGAAACAAGCCTTTAAGACCCCAGACATTAATTTTATCTGCTAGCCAGGCACCATCTACGTTCTTCACCACATTTTGCTCTAGCACTCATATCTTCTGTTTTTTCTTCCTGAGGGCCAGTATCGATTAGGGCCATGATATTAGAACTAGTTGTTCTTAAGTTGGAGCTAGGATTTAGTGCGAGCCCCAAACGCATTTCTGGATCTATGTTTGTTTGTTTGTTTTTTCCCTCTTAATTTGTTATTACTTGGGGATTAATACATGTATCAGTTCATAGTTCAATCCCTTCAAATAGACTTGTACAATTGCTTCCATAATCAGTTTCCCAACATACTTTTCCTTCCTGGTCTCTTGATATCATCTCCCTTTGACATCCCTTACAGCCCCCGTACTACCCCCTGCTCCTCTCCCCTGTACCATTTGCTGTCCCTATAGACTCATCAATCCTGCCTTTCATTTGCCGAAAGACAGAAAAACAAACAGGTAACACTACGTCCATAGGGTGACCTCAATGACATAATACCTCTGATAAATACCCTGCTATGAACAAGCATAAACAAAATGATACAGAACGATTGTGGCGTGGCCCATTTGCCGGAATGATACATTTCTTAATACAGCATATTGGGTGTTGATGAAGCAGGCTCTTGATTACAACAGTTCACTGATCTTGGTACAGCTGTCTTCTGCTTCCTCGGACACCATGTAATTTCTGACTGAAGTGCTCAGGTGACAAGTGTGTCTAAGATCATCCAGTGGAGTTCCCACTTGGGATCTCACTGACATAGCCTCTGGAGCATGCCGTGGACCCTGAAGATCCGGGGTTCAGTGACCCAGTGTTCCACGGCACCAGGCCTGGTGCCTCAAGATTCCCCAACACCCCTGAGTTCAGTGTGGCCAATTGGTTGCATGCCAATAAAGTCACTCCCCACCTAGTGTCCCCCAAAGCATTTTCAGTCATTCTTCCCCCTACCTGGGGGTTGGTCCTGCCTCTTTACTTCCGACAACAGACATCATTTGTGTCCCCCCAAGTGTGTCTGCTCCCTTCCCCTCTGCTGCATTGTCTTTCCCATCCATCTCCCTGATCCCTCTGATAGGGCTTTCTACATGCCCGGTGGTGGGGGAGGGGGCTGGTGATCATCTCTATCTCTACCTGTATAAAGAAAAATACAAGCTCAACTTATAGAAGAAATATGCAAACATATTTTTTATAGAGAAATAATACAAGTTTAGTTTATGCCCTGAAGGGCTATATAAAATTTCACAGTTGAGGTCTGTTAAATCATTATTTTGCTCGTAACCTCCTGATAAGGTACATTCAGCGAGTTATTGAAGGTGTGTCCTTGGCTCTTTAGGTTGACAGTAGCACTGAGTCAGCAGAAGCTGCCTGCGATATCCTTTCCCAGCTGATAAATTGTTCTATCCGGACCTTGGGCCTGATTTCAACTGCCAAGCCAAGTTTCATGAAGATGTCCAAGGTAAGGGCGCTGTGCTCTTATGGTGAAATGTGCTAGAATTCTCAAATGTTGTCACACAAGACACCAGGACCCTTTTCCTAATGACCCTCTTCTACTTTGTATCCAAAGCGGTTTTCTGTTGGCTAGCACTTACTTTTGTCAAAATAGCTCATGCATGGTTTCCTTCAGGTATATCATATTTTTAACTGTAGAAATGATTTCCATAATACATATCATGAGTATAAAACTTAGATGCAACTCAAGGTTTTCAAGCACCAATTTTCCTTGAGATTTGGAATATAAAGAATAGAGGGCCAACAATGGATGTTTTCCCTGGAATTTTATAACTTTTCCCCTGGAACTGAGAAGCATAACGTTGAACTAAATGGGTTATACTTATAAGGATGATGTTTTGGTTCCTCTGGTAGAAATTCCAAGATAACAGAGCCATAATAAGCATGACTGAAGTTTGCTTCCTTACAGTGAAGAAATGCACAGGCGAGAGAGTCCATCACTGCCATCAAGTTGCCAAGAACCCAGAGTTCCTCCAGTCCCCTCCCCCCACCTCCATATTGTCTCCAAAGTGTCTCCCTGAGCTCCAGCCATCATGTGCTTCTTCTGGGTGGATGGATGGAGGTAATGGGGAAGAAAGGTGCGCCTTCCTATGAGACTACTCATAAGGACCACATAATGCTTCTCTGTACACCTCATTCCCCGATACTTAGTTCCATGACCATGCCAGAATTCAGGGAAACTGGGGGAGTCTTTTCTGTATGGCAATGTGCTCAGCTAAAGATAAAAAACAGTCTACTGGAGAAGACTGGTCTACTGGAGAGAAGACTGGTCCACTGGAGAGAAGACTCATCTACTGGAGAAGACTGGCCCACTGGAGAGAAGACTGGTCCACTGGAGAGAAGACTGG